GTATCAATAATCAAGAATCTCTAAGTAGAGCTTCTTCAATGTCAACAGTGTCTGAAATTCTTAACCTTTTGACTGAAGAAACCATAAGAGATAGTTCCTTGTCTACCTTCTCCTGCATCTGCAGTTTATCATAATACATTTCTTTAGCTTCTTTAGAGCCACAAGTACCACAAAATAAGCAAAGCAAACACTCCAAACTCCTTTATTCAACTGTTCATAAACAACAACAACAGTTGCAAGCAAAACCAGCAAGACGGAAATTGCGGAAGCAAACACACAAAAACAACAACAACGACAACGACAAAAAGGAAAAACAAGGTGGAAGAAAATGCGAGAAACTCTCAGTTCTGAGTTCCTAAGACCTGAAGTTTTTCAGGGTTGCGCCAAATTCCAATTCCATCGCAGGGGCAGAGACTAACTTGAGGGCATTGATACTTCTCCAAGAAATCCATTTTTGGAAAGTAGAGTTCCTTCAGATCCCTCCACTCCACTTTTAACCTGGGGAGAAATTTCAGACGTAAAACCTTGACATTGCATTTGGTTGGCTTCTCAGGTGGTGGTGACTTTCCAAATCGAGTAAGTTCTTTTCCTCCTTTAATGTAGAGTTTTTCCAGATTACGTAGTTGTTCAGGCTCAAGCCATGTGGGAAGTTCTGGATAAGGAAAACATTGCAGATCCAGTTTCCTCATTGACTCCGGAAGCACTGGAGGAGGCTTTGGCTTTTCAGTCTTTTTAGTATTTGGTTCTGCGGCAGCTTCCATCCTAAGAATATATGTCGCCGTTCTTTCTAAGAAATTTTGTCCACCAGTTGCATCTTTCTTGTGTTCATTCATACCTCCCCATGCCACTTTCAACTTTTCCAGAGCTTTGAAATCCTGAATAGCCAGGAACAGATCCGTTACGGTGAAGTCTCCTTTGTTTATTGTAATGCTTAGCTTTCTCAGCTTTTTCAAGTACTTCAGCTCAGGCAGCGTGCAGAACGTCTCCTCATCAAGAGCATCACTAACCACAAAGCCTTTGAGAACCTCCAAGTTATTGAGCCACGACAACCTCTTGGGCATACGATCTACCATGTAGCAATCTGTAATGTCCAAGTAGGCGAGCTTCTTTAGTGAATCTATCTTGTCTGGAAGTTTCTCCAGATTATAGCAAGCTCTGAGGTCCAGGATGATCAGCTTATGAAGCTTACAGACAGCATCGTCAAGTCTTTCAATTCTTGAGATCCCTTGAAAACTCAGAAGCTTGAGTCTAGTCATATTCTTCAAGAATTTCATAAGCTCAGGATTCTCTACCTCGATGTGGCGTTTGGCGGTTCTCTCCCATCTTCCCAGATAAAAGACCTTGAGCTCCTTGTACGTATTTTTGGATAGAGGACCAAACCTCTTAGTCCCTGCTGGTACATCCTCTGCGAACC